ATTTAAGGTAGACTTAATTTTTAGGTTGCATGTTACGTATTGGTTTACTGGCTCGCCATAATGAAACACGGATGAAAAATTAAACCCTACAATTCTAATAAAGATTTGTAGGGAACGATATGTTTATATATAGTGCTTTATTTATGTATATTTATAGTGGACGCATGTCGGGACTTTTTGTCCTTTAATGGACATGTTCTGAGAACTTTTAATCTTTTTTTATTACTTTTATTAATTTTATATACATAGAATTTCACAATGGGTTAATACATATTTATTTTGTTGATTTTACATTACACTTACAGCTAGTTACACTTGTACTCAGTTTTTGTCAGAAAGTACAGAAAGAACTCCTGGGTCACTCTGCCCTGTCTGTTTTAAGGTCTGAGGAGTTTTTTTTTTATTTCTTATTTTTTAGTGTGGAAATTTGCATTATTTTTTTTTTTAGCTGGGGTAGTTGCGCTAGTGTTGCAGTTCTAGATTAAACAGCATATTTAGCAAGCTTGAAGTGGCATATTTAATTAAATTTAAATGGATTTCTACCCTGTTGAATTTTCACTCTGCCTCACGGGGGGCAGCCTGACCTGGTTGTTGTGGGGCGTCCCGTACAAAGCTTCCACCAGGTCAGCGGCTCTTTTCAGCAGCATTTCCTGTGCAGCAGACGGAAAGAGAGAGGTGGTGTCATGGCAAAAATATAGCTCCCGTCAATAAAATTAATATTTCATAAATAAATAAATAAATAAGATATATAAAATATATAAAATATATATGATATACATATTATATATAATATATAATATACATTATATATGTATACAATATATTATATATATTATATATTATATATTATATATTATATATTATATATATAATATACATTATATATGTATATAATATATTATATATATATTCTATATTCTATATTCTATATTCTATATTCTATATTCTATATTCTAAATATAAATATAAATATAAATATATATATATATATAAGTATAAAATAAATATATAATAAAGATACAATCAATAAAGAAAACAAACAAACAAACAAAAAAGAGAAATATATAATAAATAAAATAAAATTTTAAATATAGGACCAATTAAAAAAACCCAAAATAAATGTATAATAAATAAAAATAAATACAAATTACAATTAATTAAATAAATATGGAATAAATAAAATACAATCCAGCAAATAAATATTAAAAACAGCAATAAAATGGCAAAATAAACTGGAACAGGAGAAAATAAATAAAATAAAAAATTGAATAAGACAGGATAGATTAGACTAGACTAAAGTAAAATTAAAAAATAAATGCAATAAATAGAAGAATAGGATAGGATAGGATAGGATAGGATAGGATAG